CGCATGGTGTCAGCGAGTTCCCGCATGAGGCGAGGATCCTGCCTGGCCTCAAGGGGGATGATTTCAGTGAGGCCCCCGTTTCCCCCGGAGGTCCATATCGTTGCGGACAGTTCCGAGTTCTGGCCGCGATTCCGGCGGCTTGATTCCAGACGTTCGGAGAGATCACGCTGATTGTTGCTTCCTGACATCGTGCTGTAGGGAGAGTTTCTGGAAACTTTTTGTTCAGTTTCCCACAGACGGCGCCAGTGTTGAGGTTTGTTCCTTCAACCCTTGGACCCAACACGTAAGCCCAAAGATTTCGAGTGGAGTGAATGTATGAATATATAGCCCAACAACTATCAGATGGATCAGGAAACAAAGGAAATAGCAGGCAATGTAAATAGGTATTATTAACTTCGTAATAAATCCCCTAAGTACAATCTACTTGCTAAAAAGGGCACGTCGGCCGTTCGTCTTACAAGGCAGTAGAGATGCTGCGAGTAAGAATACAATAGCTAGAATGCTAAGAATAGAAAGTTGCCAACCCTTTACAATGAAATAAATGCTACTATTTATACCCGCCAATGGGCAGTTAGTCCTGATGATGTGGAGGATTGTTAGTGGCTGTGGCCCAACCACCAAATCTCCAGCATTAAATGCGCTTCCCGCCAGAATCTGGGTTCCCCGCCTAATTCCTGACCACGATCGTCTGGTAGAACCGGGGGCCGTTCGTCTGCGGCCCTTCCTGAGAACGTAACAATCTTTTGGGCCTGGGCCATCTACGGAGATGGGCCTCGGCTGACGACGTTCGTCATGGATGTGCTAACCGACCCTCGGCCGGGACCTTGTGCTATTATCCCGGAGATAGACATTCGTCCTCATTCCTTCAGGCCAGGGCCATCCGTGGGCTGGGCGACATACGTCGGTTTGGGGGTAATTGGGCCGGACCCCTGCTCGGGGTCATTTACCCAACACATTCGTAAGGGGATAAAGTAGAATGTCAACCTTCGGCCTCAACAGGAACACCAAGATATGGTCCCTCGGCCTGTTCAAAGTAACATGTCATCTTCGGCCACAAACCGCTATCAGGATCACCCGGTATGTAATACCTTACCATGCCAAGGGCGACCATCTTTTACTCAGTGATATATTTGTCAACACTCCTCAGCCCACCCTTCAGAAAAGCCTCCACCTGGGCATCTATTTCAAGACTCTTCGGCGGATCATGTAAGTGAAATACCCCCGAGTGATCACGAGAAGGGAAGAAGGCCCCTTCGGCCAACTTCACAAAGACGAACTTGGCCTTCCAGCCATGAATAGACGAAGGGAGGTCTGTGAAAGTTCTTTTCTTCGGTAGCTGCTGAAGAGCAGCATAGCCGACACTGTTCTCATGACTCCCTCGGCCGATTCGGTACAAGTTGGTGAAAAAGGGCCGTCATCAGTTCAATCTTCAACTCAGCGCAACGGAGCAGGAATCCGACGGTCAAGGAGTAACTGTTTGGGGTTAGCAGAGCCGTAGGGAGGTCCACCATGTTAAGGTACTCCACAACAAAGGGGTGGAGGGGAAACCTTAGGCCCTTGGAGAAACTCATTGGATAAACCCCAAAGTAACCATCAAAAGGGTTCAAAACATGGTCTGTCGGCTTTAGGGCCCTTACCCGGTTGTAGGGACCAACGTATAATTGAGCCACCTGATATTCATCAGGCGGTCTCTATGGCCGGATAATATAAAGATTCGTCAAATCCAACTGGGAGAGCCCAGCGGTCAAACCTTTCGGATGACGCGATCCGCGCTTCTTCCTCGTGGCCCCAGAAGACGAAGCGTCGCCCGGAACAGAAGAGATAGGAGGAGGACAATGAATAGCAGCCGACGAACCCACGTCATCTCCCCTGAACAGCGGGCCCGAATCCGCTTCGTCCTCACTAGACAGTTGGGAACCCACATCATCGCTCAACCGTTCCTTGTCGATCGAAGTACGATATAGTCAACAATATTCTCCATCTCTCTATCGAAATCTTCCACAAGCTTCAGGTCAATTTGAGGGGATGTATCCTCCTCGTCAAAGGGCTAGTACTCCTCGTCCAAAGAGGCTATTAAGTCAATGGGGGAAGGGATGCTACAGCCATCAGGAAACGACATAATATCTAAAACAAATCCTAAGGGTGGTTTTCTTGATCTAGGTGATGTTTCCTACAAACACTAGATCTAACCCCCCAAGGAAGCAAAGTATAAGAAAAAAACAAGAACAAACGAGGAACCTAACCTTGGAAGCTGAAGAACTCGATGAACGCTTGAAGATTGGAAAAAGGCTTTATCTCTCTAGAAAATCGGCAGTACTTCGTTACTTGGCTCAAACACGAATGGGAGTTTGGTTTCGAGTTTGGGGGTACTTATAGGCGAACCCCCAACGGTCATTACACGCGGCGCCCAGCCATTGGTCACACCAATGGCCACCTCTCTCAAAGCCAATCCACATCGCGTGTTCAGACTCCCCGCTAGCTATACGCCCGCTGCGACCCGAGATTAGCCAACCATCAATGGCATTGCAACGACCACATGCAACAAGAATGGGCTAGGCAACGATTGCCTCAACAGCCACTAAGTTGGCAATGGCCAATCCACAGAATCCTCACTATGGCTCAAACCAGTTTGATAAACCATGAATGACACTTCATCGGCTAAAACGCCAAAGACTGACACAAAAACTAAGGCCTACGTCCACTCACGCGCAACTCGTTTGATGATAACCTCTAGCCTGCGACCTTCGTCCAAAGGTCCTCCCACAGGGTTACCTTGGGCAGGATCGCCTAGGGGTTGGAGTCACGAGAAACGCAAGGGTGCCGCTTCGGCCTGGGATACTATTTTACTCCTTTGCACCTTGACACTTTCTTCGGCGCGAAGGAGTGTGGGATTGGGGGACTGTATCGGTCCAGGGAAGCATGCAAAATTCGAAATGAACAATAGCAACATCAGCATTGCCACGTCCACAATCATGGAATTCATCTTCGGTCACAACCAAAGAGCAGGCTCAATTTAAAGTATCAGGAGCGCTTCGGCCACCCACACCAAAACGGAAACATGTGACAAGGCAATAGTGAGGCACACATCGTCCTCAACATAAACAAATCAAAACTCCGCCATCTCATAAGCAAAGACATAGCTACGGCTAAAAGATAGACGAAACCTCATCGGCCTCTGAAAAACAACAAAGCCGCACAATGGCCTATCAGAAAGGAACAAGCACACACGAAAAGGGCCCTTTTCGGCTGGGAACAAACAAAGGACTACTCCCTTTCGCTTCATCTGCATCTCAACTCAGAGAGTGAGAGACTCCTTATAGAGTATATGAGCTTAGACCCTATGGCCCACATACTCAGAAGGTCAAAGACATCGGAAAGGGACATCCACGTGGCGTCCTTCGGCCAGGTGGGTCCCGCAACGGACAAAGCCGGAACTACTCTGAGCGCTATCTGGAGACAAAGTAGGTCCCCCATCGGTCAGGGACCGCATCGACCAGAGGCTATCCTGACAGAATGTATTTTCATACCTAATTCATTAAGTCTTGTACTCAGCCCATTAGTGACCTTATTTCGCCCCAAAGAGGCATGATTATTGGAGGAGGAGGAGGAGAACCTATTAGTGAATTTTCATTATGTTTTAGTGCTACTTATGACAATTACTAAATGATTTATAGAGAAAATTATTTCTTATATGACTGAAATAGTATCTATATCCCAATATATAATCTAGTCATTTTTTTTCTTATTTGGTAGGAGAATGATATGCTAATCATGTTCCATATGCATTAAGTGGAAACTTTCTCTTGCTTGTTTTTCAGTTATGATACTCACGGTTTGTGATTTCTGGTCATTTTTTGATCAATTAAGTTTTTAAGTCATATAACGGCAAATCCTCTCTCTTTTAGTAATATTTGGGGTAGATTTCTCTAATTTATATTCCGCCCATCTTTTAAAACGTCGTCAAGTTTGACTGACACGAAGATTAATAAAATGATATTTCTGTGGTTGAGGTTTGTGCAGAGGAGAGAACTTAACTGGAACCACAATTTTCTTTACTTAAAAGTGAAAACGACAAAGTTAATGAGAGAACCCCAAAAAAAATTGGCAAAGCTTTAATGAATGAAAGGAGTATATTAGGTATTGGTAGACATTGGCCCCGTTTGGATAGCAGCGGTTTGAGCAATCCGCTGATTGTTTTGAACTGCAAACCGCTGCAATTTGCAGCGGGTAGGCAAGAATCCGCCGAAAAACAAACGCAGCCATTGTCTCTGACTAATCAAATACATGCATATACTGATATACGATACATATTTTTGGCATACATAAAAAATATGTATACTCAGAACACTCCTTTTTTGTATAAAGACAAATGCAATTTTTTAATGTGCGACTTGTGCACTCACAACTAAGAAAGCGTACATATTTTGTGTACTATTTTATGCTCACACATGTACACAATAATGGTTGTTTTAAAATTGTCAAATAGGTCCTCGAACTTTCATAAAAAAATCAAATATGTCCTTATATAGGAGGCTCTGTCCGGCCGTCATGATTTGGGGAAGTTCCTGGTGGTTTTTTTTGATGAATTTTTTTGAGCATCTTATTCATCAAGTCTAGTTCACTCATACCAAATTTCAGCTAAAACTTCAATTGAGAACACATTCAAGTTAATTCTTGAAGATAACTGTGCAGTCAAATGCGCAATACATCTTCAAGAATTAGTTTGAATGCGTTCCCGATTGAAGTTTTAGCTGAAATTTGGTATGAGTAAATTAGACTTGATGAATAAGATGGTCAAAAAATTTCATCAAAAAATTCCACCGGAAACTGTCCCAAATCGTGTGACGGCTGGACAAATTTTCCTTTATGATGACTTATTTGACTCTTTTATGAAAGTTGGGATCTATTTGACAGTTTTCCATTTTCTAAATGAGATGAATGTACAAATTTCTGCCCCAATATAATTTTTCCTAAATTTATATGGAGTAAAAGATTGCCCTGCCCTCAATAAAATCCTCCGTCGAATTCCACACAGTGACCATTTTTTTGAAATTCCGAAATTGTTATTTTGCGACAGTAGAAAAAGTCCATTCGTTCCCTCAGAGAAAGGAATTGGCTTCTCCACTCTTCAGCTCGGGAGTAGATGGAGCTAGACCCCGATGATGTGTTTCGAGACGACGAAGACGACCTCGACAGTGAATTCTATCAGGTTCTTCACTTTCTCACTCTCCGTGCCATTGCTGGCAAACTACATGCTAAATCAGTTAAGCTAAAACCGGATTTCTCGCTGCTTTATTTTTTATATGCACAGGAGAGAGAAGCTACGAAAGAACTGTTAGTATATATTGTGGATGCTTCCCCCAGAATGTTTTCAACTACTTCTCAGGCGGTTAGTTTCTCTCCATGTTCACACTCCCCACCCCCACGCTGCATGCACGCCAGAATGGTGAAGAATTACGCCATTAAAGGGGGGGAATGTTGTCTGTTTTTAATTTTTGGGGCTTAACTGTGAAAGCTGGTAAATTAAATGCTACAGAGGAGAGGAGGGAAGAAGGAAAGACAAACCGTGCATATTACCTATATGTTGAAAACCGTGCATATTACCTATATGTTGAAAATGTCCTGTCAATATTGATTGTACTTTTTCTCCGATTACATGTGTTCCTATTTGCTTTTTAAATGAAATGTAGACATGTAGTGTATGTACCCCCCAAATCCCCCCCCCCCCCTCCCCAATACCTGATACCCCGAGGGTCCCTATGGAACAAAGTAAATGCTTGGCAAAGTAATTAAGGAGGAAAGTGATAGTGAAATTTGTAAGGAAAGAAAATGTTATTTCTACAGATAAATAATAAGCAATTTAAACATGTGTAAAAAATCAAAATATCATTCATATATACGAAGTATTTCGTTTTGCTTTGCATTTTCCTAAGTAAAACCAAAAACACACAAATAATTTACCTTAGCATATCTTTTCTGTCCCTGGCATTTTCTGAGAAGTTTCAAACAAGGCCTGATTGCCATTTAACCAAACAGGTAAACACTTAATTACTCATGTATGTTAAACTTGTCCATTTGAAGTTATTCTCACAATCTCACTTTGTGGGTGACATTGCAATCCAGAAGCTTGTTTAGAAATACTCATAGTACATTAGTAGTCAGCAGCTCTATATGTTGCTCTATTGGTATTTAATTATAGAGTATATTATTTTCCGGTGTACCAAAAAAAGAATGTTATTGTATCCTTAAGTGAGGTACTTTGCAACTAGAATAAGACTTCTTTTCATTTTCTTCTAATTAATCTGGAGTTCATGAAATGTTTCAATTGAGGTATTTTCTTATGCTTGCGTGCTGTTTGATACATTGTTATCAATAATGCTAAGTCTTTTCGTGATTTCAATTTTCAAGTTGCCAGTAGGATTAATTTCTTTGATAAATATCTGGTTATTTATTGCAACAGCTATTGGAACACTGCATTGATTTACCAATTGTCAGTTTTGTTCAGTTGGCATTGGTTGTTACTCTGAGTTAATTTATCTTCATTTTTTGGTAAACTGGTCAGTTTTGTACAGTTGTCATGGTTATTATTAATTACACTTCGTTTCTTTAGTAAACATATTTACTGAAGTCTAAAAGAAATTACATTTTACTATGTAGTGTTGTGCATAAGATTTTCTAATATGTCCCTCATTGCAGGAACATGAAAAAGAAATATCTCATTTTGAAGTTGCTATTAATTGTATTGCACAAAGCCTCAGAACTCAAATAGTCAATAGATCGTATGATGAAGTTGCAATATGCTTCTACAACACTGTAAGCTGTTGATCCTCGTAAAACTACACCATGTGCAATGCTGTATTAGTGCTGGCTTAGAAATTGTTAGTTTAAACTTTAAAGGTTCCTCCCTGTTAGGATGTGTGTACTTGTATGGTTTATGCCAATCAGTGGCTGGATTACTAGATGGGGGCACACTTAGTATAAATTTTTTCTAAAAATTGGTATCGTTTTACTATAAAGGGTGGGTGTATACAATAGATTTTTTATAATAAAAATGCATAACTGGGTTTCATAATGTTTAAATGTATAAGTTTCATAGTAAAATGGTTTGTCCTTCAAGTTGTTATCTTAGAGGCCTCTTTTAGTATAGATAATGATTTTAATGTTTACTAACACCACCTGTCTATGTCAATAGAGGGAAAAGAAGAATTTGCAGGACTTGAATTGTGTCTACGTATACAATGTCCAGGATCAAGATGATTTAGACAGACCAACAGCAAAACTTATAAAAGAATTTGATCGCATCAAAGGTAGATCTTAATCCTCTTATCCATCCGTCTATAATTTTAACTTTAACACCCTATATCCATTACATAAAAAAGGTGGACCATGAACTCATAAGAAATTGACCCCCCCCCCCCCCGCCCCCGCGCGCTTCCCACTTCAAAAACTTCTGCCATTGCAATTTTTCTCGGTAAGTCTCACCTGCATTCCTAATTGTAATTTTGCATCAATATTGATATATTAATGCCGACCCCAAATTTTTTTGGGACTAACGCTTGGATGTAGTTGTATTAATATATTAGTATATTATCGTTATTGCATTTAATTTTACTTTATAAGGTTCATAGTTTTATTCAACTTGAGTTATTGTATATGGTTGCAGAAATATTTAATAATCAAATTGGTAGCAAATATGGCATTGAACCCGGATCTCGCGATAATTCACTGTACAATGCTATTTGGGCTGCTCAGGCTCTTCTCCGCAAAGGGAAAATATTTATCTTTTTTTACATTCTTCCGTATCTTAAATGTTACGGAGTTTGTGTTTCTCAATTTTGAATGTTTTAGATTTTAGTGACAGTGGCTCTTAAACTGTTACAGATCTGCAAAAAATGCTGATAAAAGGATTCTCTTATTTACAAATGAAGACGACCCATTTGGTTGTATCAAGGGAGCAGTAAAAATTGATATGATGAGAACAACCATTCAGCGAGCCAAGGTGTGATGCATTTCACTACATGTTTTTGTTCAACTTGTTTTTAGTTAAGCTAGACATCATAGAATGAACTATTTGTTTCAAAATAGTGGATAGAAGGGATAGTTACTACTTACTAGAACGTTCTTCGCAGATAATAAAAATGGAAGTATCTCTTTTCCGAAAAGGATTTATTTCTAGTTTTTTGTCAAATGCTGTGATTTAGGGGAGATAGTTGCTATCCAAAACGATTTGAACCTAGTGATCCAATGTGATGCCAAGTGCCACCAAATACCATTCTCCCTACCACTTATGCTCGTAGTATGATGTGTAAAGTAGTGGAATGTTATAGGTTCAATGATTTATAGTTAATTTTCCAAGTATTCAAATTGGAAATGTATTTTCTAACTCTCATATACAACAACATTAAGCCTTATTCCCAAAGATTTTGGGGTCGGCTAGCATGAACCAATTCATGATATCAGAGCCAAAAAGAAAAGGAAGATAAGAAAAAAAGATAAGGTGAGATAAAAATGGTAAATGAACATAAGAAAGAGAAAAATAACATAAGAATATAAGAAATATAAAGAAGATAAAAAGATAAAAGAGAAGGAGAGAGAAAAGCGATATTCATATTTCAATTCATGTCATGTAATGTGACTAAGTGATACTATTGGCAGTCACGTGCCTACCACAATACCCTTCTCTTTTATCTTGGTTTGGGACCAAAAATGATCTCATGACGGTGATAGGTACACAGATATTTGATAGTAAATTGAAGACGATTAAGTTGCTATTGATGAACTGAAAAGAGAAAGATACAGTTGAAGTGGTCTCCTGCACTCCCAAGATCCAAATCCCAAACTAATTTCTGCCTAACTCACATATTCTCCCCTTTCCCTTCTTATAGTAATTATATCCTAATGGGCCAGCCCACATTTTATGACATGGCCCAGGATACTTATTTATACAATACCCTACTAATTTAATAACAATCTATCACTATTATTATGATATCTCCCCCCTTTAAAAACCACCTTGTCCTCAAGGTGGGTGATAGGACATAGCCTTGATCTTGAAATTCATCTTCATCCTGGAGCCTCTTCCTTCCCAATATCTCCCAGATTGCTGAACCAGAAGCTTCAGTACTTGTTCCTTCAAAATAAAAAATGGTGCTGCTGCAGAAGATATGTTGAGTGCAGTTTCATTAGATGCAGTAGACTTCAAGCACTCGCTAGCTACAAGTGTTTCCCTGTTTTCATGAGACTCCCCAAGGATTATAACTTCTGAGACTATCAATGTGCTGGATGCAGGTTTAATGTTATTCAAGTTGCTCAACTCCTTGTCTGCAACAAGCTCTATGCAAAGTTCTCCATTTTTCATCCACTTTTCTCTACGGCAGCTAGTATCAATGACAGAATGATTTGTAATAGCAGGATTAGTCTCATAAGACTTCAACAACCGACTACAGTTGTGCACAACAGTGCTGTCATGCGGTTTCAGATTATCTGATAAGAACAGAAAAATAACAATCAACGGGGTGAACCGTTGTCCAGAATAATCAACGGAAGAATCCGTTGCCTAGGCTACTTTAGCTTAACTAAATCTAAATTTTATTCATTGATGGCCGACTGAACTGCCCTGCGTGGGTATAAATAATACAATCGTACTCCAAATATTTTAGTTCCAGTAGGAAACTAAATCAGCTATTAAATTAATTGTACGTAGCCCTCTCCCAGTGGGAAGCAGACTCACGCACAAAGCCTAAGGGGTGGGGAAAGACTTACGTAAATCATACGTCCCTATCCTAAGTGAATTCTAATATAAAATAATAAATAATAATAATAAAAGAACTAACTTAATTGAAGCTAAAAATTAAATTAAAAACTCAGCCCCTAACCGGCCCACGGAAGTGGGCCCAAGCCCGGTCCCGCCACCTGCTCTTCCCGCTTCATATCATTATCTAACCGCCAAAGTCCCAAGTCTATGAAGTTTTCTTCTTTCTTTTTCCTTATAAGAGAGCCAGTAGCTCTTGCAGCAACAGCACGAGCTTCAGGGACCGGATCCTGATGAACTTTGGGCAGAATAAGCATGAACATATTGGTTTCCCGATTCTTAAAAGTGTTAACCGCACCAAACTCATTTATTTCATCAACCTTTTCTTCATCACTGCTACCAAAAGTAAAATTATCAGCCCCCTTCAGTCCCATACCTGAGGAGTCCCAGGATAGAATCATGACACTCTTATGTTCATTAGCATCCCTTATGTTCCTTCGAACTGAATGTCCAACGTAGACCAAATTTTTATCCCCATACCATCTATCTTCCTCAGAAAGTATTGTTAGAAAGTATTGTTAAAGAGTTCCTGACCTCACCCCTATATTTTCCAGGAATGAATTTTGAGAGCACGATTTCCTTGCAATCAATTGCCAAATGAGGTGTTTTCCTATCATCTTTGCATTTTCCAGCCAAAGGTTTGAGAGCAAAAGAAACAGCAGAGCTCTGGAAAGTTCCTATCCTTCTGGCAGCAACATAATGAACATCAGGGATAGAAACTTGAGGCACTTCTAATGCCAGACGTTCTGCCTGTCCTCCCTTTTTGCCAGGGTCACCAGGAACACCATCCGACAGAAACCTTGGCTCCGAAGATCTAACATATCTTACCTCACCATTGAATATCTGCACCTCTGCCTCTCTCCTGACTAGGCTAGGTCCTTGATTCATGTATATCTTGCTTTTGTTGGCTGTCATCTGCGAACTTCGAACATCTCCTGTCACTTGCTTCGCACGTGGAGGCGACCTGGGATAAAGTGTTTTTGGCGTTGGAAGAATGTCAACATCGCTCTGTTCTGAAGGTGTTGATGAAACCAACTTCAACTCAGATCTCAATTCCGGAGAAACTTGCGCATGTTGAGAAGCTGTGTAAGAATAAGAAAGGGATTGAGAACTGGTGGTTTTTGACTGCACCACAGTCTGCGAACTGGAGAACTCAACTGGGGATGAAGCTAGCGCGCACGCCGCTTGAGATGCCATTTGCGAGCTGGTAGAAGTGGTTGGCATCTGAGAACTGGAAACTGTTGTTCGCGATGAAGCTTCTCCTCTCAATCGCGTCGGACTACGTCGTGAACTGCCGGCGGATGTTGGAGTTGGCGCTTGCGATGACGAGCTTTGATAATCCGCGAGTGAATAAACCTGCGATGACGACTGGTGACAAACCGCTAGAAATGGCGAACTGGAGAACTCTGTTCGCTTTGAAGTTTGAGACGACGATGAGTCCTGGTTTTCCAACTTCCAACGATTTCTAGGAGGGCTCCTTGCTCTGTGTCTATGTCGCTTCTGACGGTGATGAAGTTTGCTCAACATATAGCGTAATTCTTCCAGCGACTCGACCCATGTAGATCTCATCTCCTTCAGTTTGCGTTCATTATTGTCCAGGCTTTTCTCCATTCGGGGTGTACAGAATTTCTCCATCTGATGTAATTGATCGATTCAGATTCTCAGCCTCCAGGAGCGAGTGCTCTGATACCAATGATAGGTACACAGATATTTGATAGTAAATTGAAGACGATTGAGTTGCTATTGATGAACTGAAAAGAGAAAGATACAGTTGGAGACACTTCGAGTGGTCTCCTGCACTCCCAAGATCCAAATCCCAAACTAATTTCTGCCTAACTCACATATTCTCCCCTTTCCCTTCTTATAGTAATTATATCCTAATGGGCCAGCCCACATTTTATGACATGGCCCAGGATACTTATTTATACAATACCCTACTAATTTAATAACAATCTATCACTATTATTATTATTATTATTATTATTAATCTCTACAGCCCAGGGCCCTATCAGACAGAGTTTTTTCTAGCTTTCTAATGAAAGAAAAAATTATTCCAAGGATATTTAAAGACAGTATTTGGTATTATCAGGAATGAAATGCATTTTGTATAAAGAATGGACCTGATTATTTTTCCCTCTTTGCTATTGGAATATGCATTAGCAACTTGGGACTCACATAATCTTCCTTTTTACAGGATGCTCAAGATCTTGGCATATCAATTGAACTGCTTCCCTTAACTAGACCAGAGGAGGAGTTTAATGTTTCCATTTTCTATGCTGTATGTTCCACTTTTTTAAAATTTCAGGGTGTGAATCTTTTTATTTGTCTAACTCAACATCTTCTACATGTAGGAGTTGCTTGGTTTGGAGGATGATGAAATTGCTCGGTTTAAGGCATTAATAGGGGAAAGGTATGCATTTCATTAATCTTCCGAGCTTCATGACAGCCTCCACCCTGACCTAGTCATTTGATTTATTGAAGGAAACACATGCTGGATATAAGAACTCTGTATTTTCACCATTTTCACTAGCTGAAGAATAATTCACCATTAGGGGTGGGAGGGTTATACTGTTTTGCTGAAATGATTTGAAACATTCTTACCTAGATTGTATTTGTATGTACGCCTACATTCTGATTTATTCTGAGCATTGATAGACCAGTGTGGTTAATTCTGGCTTTTTCCTTTATTTGTTTGTCTGTAGTTGCTAATTCCGAGCTATTATAGTCTATAGATACTCCTCAATTGTACATACCTGACAAGATTGTGTGTACTCGATATCTTTTCTGAGAATGCAAACCTGCCATTATATCATTAAGATGTATAGGATGTAAATTAACAAGTTTGAATTATGGATTCTCTCAAATATGTGAATTTATGGTGCATTCTATGTATCTTTTGTAGGTAATACATATGTAGTATTATTTTATGCACTCTGACTCTATTTAACCTCATGTTGACTTGTCTGTATTTTCTTGTAAATGACTGTTTTATCAAATTTTCATATCAGATTTGAGGATCTTAAGGATCAATTGAGAAAGCGTATATTCAAGAAGCGTAAAGTTCGAAGAATTAACTTTACAATTGCAAATGGCTTATCTATACAAGTGAATACATATGCTTTAATTCGTCCTACTAATACAGGTCTGGCAGTAGTTCTTCACAGTTTCATGGGCCATTTATCCTTCAAGATAATTAATAGCTTAGTCATTTCTTTTTGTCACAGGGACTATAGCTTGGCTTGATTCTGTCACTAATCTTCCTTTGAAGGTAATCAACCTTATTAGTTACCTAATCTTTGTCATGGACATAAGTTGAATAATAAGCCTTGAAATGACAAATTTAATAAACAAAAAGATTAGTAGCCTCTGCTGAGGGGTAAGCAAAGTTGATTTTCAGAACTGTGTTTATTGTCTTTCTGTGGCCCTTATGGGTGGGAGAGAAGAATTAAAGGTTGTAATTGTCAGATTCTCCCAAGTGCCTACTGAGCTTTGTCAGTTTGTTTGGTTATGTTACTGCAAATTTGATGCCTATTAGAAAGATAACAGAGAGAGAAATTGAGAGAAATGTGAATTGTATTCTATCTCAAATGAAGCAGCAGTATAGGTATATATAGAGTTGGTTAAGTCATTAACAAAACTCAACTGACTAAACCGATACTCTATTAATAGCTAAAACTATTACAAGGTAGTCTATTTAGAGTATATCTAATATTCCCCCCTACAAACTTATTGTGGGGTACTGATCACACTAAGTTTGTCTCTTAGAGTAACAAAGCTAGAGCTGGATAGGGGTTTAGTGAGAATATCAGCAACTTGATAGTGGGAAGGAATATGATAGACTTGTAGCTGCTTCAAATGAACTTTCTCCCTGACAAAGAAGAGATCAATTTCCATATGCCTGATTCTGGAATGTAGAACTGGAGAATATCACAGTAGACTTTAGGAATGGAGAAGGGTACTTGAAGTTCTTTGAGAAGAAACTGAATCCATAATAATTCAGCAATAGTATTAGCAAGACTCCCGTATTCTGCTTTAGCTGAAGATCTTGCAACTCTAAGTTGTTTACTTGACCACCATGAAATGATATTGGGACCAAGAAAAACACAAGAGCCAGATGTGGATTTTCTGTCTGTAGGATCAGATGCCCAGTCTGCATCACAGTAGGCTGAAATGGGAAGAGGTATGGAAGATAAAGGAAGAGGTTCGATTACAATACCATGTGTATCAGTGCCTGATAGGTATCTGAGGATATGTTAACAGCTTGCCAGTGTTCTTGTAAGGGTTTAGCCATAAATTGACAGACCTTATTGACAACATAACATATATCAGGTCTAGTCAAAGTGGCATATTGCAGAATACCAACAACAGATCTGTAGTAGGAAGGATTAGGAAGATAGTTGCTGCCCTCTTGAGTGAGTTTACATGTGCTGACCATTGGTGTGGTTACCCCTTTAGAGTTAATCATACCAGTTTGATGAAGCAGATCTCTGATGTACTTGGTTTGAGATAAATGCAGACCACCACCAGATAGTTTATGTACTTCTATTCCCAAAAAGAAGTCCAAATCTCCCAGATGTTTCAGAGAGAAAGATGAGTCAAGCTTATGAATGAGTTGATTGATGGCAGAAGGTTGATTGCCAATAACCAAGATATCATCAACATATATCAAGATGTATATCTGAACACCAGAGGATAGATAGATCAAAAGAGAAGGATCAGACTTACTCTGTTCAAAACCAACACTGTATAGAACTGAGGTGAGCTTAAGAAACCAAGCTCTGGGAGCTTGTTTAAGCCCATACAAGGACTTATGCAGTTTGTAGACAAGAGAAGTAGAAGTATCTTCTGCTTGGAATCCAGGAGGTTGTACCATGTACACTTCTTCATCAAGCTCTCCATTTAAGAAGGCATTGTTTACATCCAGTTGCTGAATTGACCACTTGTTTGAGACAGCAAGTGTAAGAAGGATCCTGATAGTAACAGGCTTGACTACAGGAGAAAAAGTTTCTCCAAAGTCAGTACCAAACTTTTGGAGAAACCCCTTGGCAACCAACCTTGCTTTGTTCTTGTTTAGAGAACCATCTGGGTTTTCTTTAACTCTGAAGACCCATTTGCAGCCTATTGCTTGTTTGTTAGGAGGTAAAGGAACAGGAGACCAAGTTTTGTTGATCATTAGGGCGTTGTACTCTCTCTGCATGGCCTCCAACCATTGAGGGGAAGATAGAGCTTGTTTGACTGATCTAGGCTCAGTATGAGCTAATAGTAAGGTTGGATTAAGCCTTGGTTTTACAATTCCTGACTTTGCTCTTGTCCTCATAGGATGAATGTTGGTGACTGGAGTAGGGTTGGACTGAGATTCAGAAGAGGACTGAGCATGAGAAGTGGATTGAGACTTGGATGATTAATAATTATGGTTGGACTAAGACTCAGAGGATTCAGGATGTTGATGACTGTGATGGTTGGAATTGGACTGAGAATCAGTTGAGTGATGATCTTGATTACTTGGAGTGGACTGACATTCAGTAGAAGAAGAAGACTCATTTTGATTTGTAGAGTTAGTAGAAGAAGTAGATTGGGAAGGAGATGTGAATGTGTTAATAATGGAGATGGGAGCACTTATAGGAAAGGAAGAGACAGTGGATGATTTTGGAATGGAGGAAAAGAGAGTTGGGTAGGGAAATTCAGACTCATGAAAGATCACATCTCGAGAGAGATAAATCTTTCCAGAACGAGAAAGACACTTATAACCTTTGTGATAGAGGAATAACCCAGAAAAATGCATGTTTCAGAATGGAAATCAAACTTGTGCTTGTTGTATGGTCGAATGAAAGGATAACAAGAACATCCAAACACTTTAAGAAATGAGTAGTCTGGGATGGAACCATATAGTTTGAAGTAGGGGCTAGAGTTAGAGATGGATTTAGAGGGAGTTCTATTGATGAGATGAACTGCTGCAGCAAATGCAGCATCCCAGAATTTGAGTGGAAGAGAAGAATGAGAGAGAAGTGTGAGCCCTTTTTCAACAATGGTTCTGTGCTTCCTTCAACAACCCCATTTTGATGGTGTGTGTGGACAAATGACTCTATGAGTTATTCCTTTTTCAGAGAGTAATGTGGTAAAGGACCTAAACTCACCTCCCCAATCTGATTGAACAGACTTTATAGAGGAGGAAAACTGATTTAGCACATAGTTATAAAAGTTTGTGAATGCAAGGAGAGCATCAGATTTTCTTTTAAGGAAGTATATCCAAGTAAATCTGGTACATGCATCAATGAAAGATATATAGTAAGAGTAACCATCAAAGGATAAGATTGGGTCTGGTCCCCACAAATCTGTGAATATAAGTTCAAAAGGTTTCTAATAAACAGTTGTAGAGTGAGATGATGGCAGTCTATGTGCTTTTCCCATACAACAGGCAGAACAAAATGAAACAGCATTTTTATTGATTGAGGAAACATTACATAGATGAAGTACAGATTTGAGTGCCTCATAATGAGGATGTCCTAATCTCAAATGCCAAAGATTACAAATTTCAGAAGGACTACAAGCCTTGGCATTATTACAAGTGGATAAGAAAGTGTTAAATTGATTGAGATTGGAAGTTGAAACAGGCTGTGACACAGAAGTAGAGCTTTTTGCTGCAGTGTTTTGATGTAAACCAAGAGCTGGAGCAGATTGAAACCTATAGAGACCATCCTCTCCAAGGATACCATGTAACAGAACCTGTTTAGAATCCTGAGATTTAACAAAACATTCATAAGGATAGAACTCAAAAAATGCATGATTATCCTTAGCAAACTGACTGACACTCAACAAATTTTTAGTAATTGAGGGAACATGTAGAATATTATTAAGAGATAAGGCTAAGGAAGACTGATAAGGTGAGGGAAAGGAAGTAAAACCAATGGACTTAATTTCCAAACCTTGACCATTGCCCATAAAGAGCTTGTCAGTAGTAACAAGGTTCATTGGATCAGCTGTCACATGGTGAGTAACACCTGAATCTGGAAATCAAGCTTGTGGCTGAGGAGGTGGTCCCAATATGGAAGGAGATGCAGAAGCCCAGGCTGCACTAGGTGAGGGAGTGTAGGTATTCTGATTTTGGAATGGCATAGGATTCTGAGAAGCTGATGATTGGGAGTTAGGATTATAGGGCTGAATTGGTACATGGTTGTAGGATTGCTGCTGAGGCCAGTTGAGAGGTTGTGAATTATGGTTGGAATAATTTGAAGTGTTGGAAGGGTAAAGTGTTTGATATGGGATGACTGCAGGACTTTGAATGGAAGGATAGGTTTGAGAATTGGTTGAATATTGATGTTGAGTTACAGGGAACTGAGAGGAGCTGGTGTATGAAGGATTGAACCTGTGATAGCAAATGAGAGCATGATGTCCAGGTTTGCCACAGACTTGACATATTACTGAACTACGACCACCATTTCTACCACCACGACCTCTCATAGGACCTCCACGGCCTCTGCCTCTGTAGGAATCAGTGGTAGGAGGAGCATTGAATTCTGCAACCTGAGCAGAAGGACCTCCTGAAGGTTCAGATTCAGGAGTTTCATTGACAGAAGTATTTGAAGAAGATGATTGCAAACGAGCAACATTTGCAGAAAATATTGTAGACTGTGATGAATCATGAAGTTTCTTCAATCTGACTTCATTCGCAGCTAGAAGAGATTCTACTTCAGAGTAGGAGGATCTAACATACTCCGTGATGAAATAGAAGAAACCAGAGACTCATACTCCTCAGGTAAGCCTTCATGTATGACATTAATATGGTCCTTAGCAGAAATAGGTTCACCGATCAACAGAAGATTATCAGCTATGGTTTGAATACGCAGAAGATACTCAGAGATTGTGCGATCACCTTTAGAAGTGTTATATAACTCAGATTTGAGTTGTCTGGCCTTCGCGATGATGTGCGCTTGGAAGAAATTGGTGATTTCGCTCCAAAGTTGATGTGAATGTCTGCAGTGAATAACTCGAGCGTGAAGAGACTCAGAAAGCGAGGCAAGCAACCAGGAAAACAACATCTGATCTTGTTGCTCCCAGGTGGAATACGCTTCAGTGACATTTCCAGCTGCTTCGTCGTCATCAGTGTTGAACTGTTTCGGAATAGTAGGTTTACAATGAAACGAAGTAATTTGTGCGCTCGAACTACATATTCAACGTGATGTTTCCAAAATAGAAAGTTGTTTCTGTCTAGCTTGATCGGAAGAGGATGTGCAAAGGTGACCGGAAAACTGGAATTTCTAGAATTTCCGTTGGAGGTGGGAGAGGAATCATCAGAGATAGCCATGGATGGATCGAGCTAAAGCTCTGATACCATATTAGAAAGATAACAGAGAGAGAAATTGAGAGAAATGTGAATTGTATTCTATCTCAAATGAAGCAGCAGTATAGGTATATATAGAGTTGGTTAAGTCATTAACAATACTCAACTGACTAAACCAACACTCTATTAATAGCTGAAACTATTACAAGGTAGTCTATTGAGTATATCTAATAATGCCACTAGCATTATAACTCTGTTTTGCTAAGAAATATATTATTCCATTTGTAGTGATTTAATGACTATTTAACAGTGATTTATAATTACATTTTCTATTGATCTAGTTTTCTTAAGCCCTTTTCAATACTTTTGTTATCAAAACAACTCGTGCTACTTGTTATTTGGCTGTAATTTTGTGTAACTTGTTCAGCTCTCTTCATTTTATGCTTCATATGGAATGATGAAGACAACTATATCTTCACTTGCTAATGATTCACTTCTGATTGTAATTTGACAAATAACCTGTTGCAGACGGAGAAATTCTTGATCTGTGGGGATACTGGTACTATGATACAAGAGCCACCGAAGCGGTTTCAATTGTACAAAAAGTCAGTTTTTTATGTCAACAATTACTTATTCCCGTATTTACCTAAAAATGAAGAAATTTAAATCGCACGTTGTTCCCACTACTTATTTATCGATTTTTAAATTCATATACTCCATATGTTTTTCTCTTAGCTTATCTTTGGCATAAGACAATTTTCTTTTTCTTTTAATTCAGTGAGACTATCATGTTCTCAGTCGATGAACTTTCAGAAGTAAAGAAAATTTCTACTGGAGACCTTCATCTCCTAGGGTTCAAACCATTGAGCTGCCTTAAGGACTATCATAATTTGAGGCCATCAACATTTGTCTTCCCTAGTGATGAGGTCAAGCTAATTCTGTAATTGTGTTTTTTTGTCAAAGTTAACTGCCTTTATTAGTTATGAAATTGATCAGTTCTAACTTCTAACATGATTAACCAGCTAGGTATGGAGTTCTATGCAAACAGTAACCTACACTCTCAGTCTCCCACCCCTTTAAAATGCCACATGGTGCACTACTTAAATGTTGTTAAAGACCTTAAGTTAGAGGATACTCTCTGCCCCAAATTGTATCATACATTAGGATTTGACTCACTTTATTAAGATACTGAAGTGCATGTTTTTATTCTCCATGTTTATCCTTTTGGAGAAGAAGCATAGAAAAATGGGTCTACCGAATCAAAGGTAGAAAGTATACATGATTAGCACTTTTTCATTTAACAATAGTTCTATTGCAGGAAGCAATGGGAAGTACATGTGTTTTCATTGCTTTGCATAGATCAATGATACGGCTCAAGCGGTTAGTCACTCGGAACTTCTGTACATTAATTTGAAAACAGATATAGTCTTTGTGTACTGATTTCTTTTTAACGCATATTAATGTACAAATGAGTGATGAGACTTGTTCATTTAACTGATTACTAAGCTGGAACCTATATCCATTGTGCAAATTTCTTTTGCATGCATATTGACATATAAATGAGCGATCAGTCTCGCTTCCTCTCATTATGATGGTCAGTGGAAGCTTGTTCATTTATCCCATTATTAAGCTGGCAACTATGCCCACTTAAAGTCTTCTTGATGACAAACCATCCCATCTTCGTTATATAGTGATCATCAAACAAAATCAAAGACATGCATTGATCTTGGATGGGGGGAACTTCTGGAACATGAAATGCATCTAGAACAAAGCCTTATATACTTATATACATATATACATTTGTCTGTGTTTGTATGGGAGAGTTTTCAATGACCCCCCGCCTCCCTCATGGATGGTACTTTCTTTTACTAGTCATAAAAATGCTCAAGATTTTTGTGAGCACTAAAGATCATATGATCTAAGCCATTTGATTTTGCCTGTAATCGTTGAGATTGAGTCTCCATGAAAGAGTACTTTTTGTTGCATCCATTGAAACCATGCTCATTTGTGTGTCTGTATGTATGGTTGTATACACTCACATGCAATGCATACTACCTCCGTGCAGGGTTAAGGTTCCCATTGAAAAATGGAACAATTATTTAGACAATAATTAAATTATGTAATTCATGTATATTTTGAGAAATAGTTGTGATGGGTATATAATATAAGGGAGAAATAATTAAAATACCCCAAACTTTGTACGGATGTGAGGTAAATGCCCCAAACTTGCATGTGTAATTTAAATACCCCAAACTTTACATAAAAAGTTATTTTAGCACCATGGTCAACTATTAATTTAAAATTTATGGTCCTATAATTTATGGTGAAAATTATATGTTCATGGTGCTAACATAACTCTTTATATATAGTTCTGGATATTGAAATTACATATGCAAGTTTTGGGTGTTTACTTCACACCTCATCAAAGTTTGAGGTATTTTAATTATTCTTACCTATATAATGGGGTCATTGATGATAAATTTGATATTATAGGTGTATTATTTTTTATATTTATGATTAAGTTGGCATTTAAGAGTTAATTATTTCCTAAAATAGAAATGATAATCTTTAGTTGAGACGTCCAAAAGAGGCAAGTGAGAACCTTAAGCTGGGTCGGAGGGAGTATATATTTTGGATGAAACAAAACGTTTTTCAATGAAAAATGAAAATGTGATCCTTTCAAGACGTCCGGAAAACGAGCCGCCGTCCGAACCTCGACGTTTGGGACCCTTCCCGGTGGAATTTTTTATGAAACTTTTTGAGCATGTTCTTCATCAAGTCTAGTTTGTCCATACCAAATTTCAGCTAAAAAATCAATCGGGAAGGCAGTCAAATAATTTTAGGAAGATAACTGCGCCAAAATATACATTTAAAAACGCAGTTATCTTTACAAAATTATTTGACTGCCTTCCCGATGGAATTTTTAGCTGAAATTTGGTATGAACAAACTAGACTTGATGAAGAACATGCCCAAAAAAATTCATAAAAAAATTCAACCGGGGAGGGGCCCAAACGTCGAGGTTAGGACGGCGGTTCGTTTCCGGACGTCTTGACAGGAACTTTTCTTTATATATATATATATGTGTGTGTGTGTGTGTGTGTATGTATGTATGTATATAGATGTATAGGAAAAAGATCCCCTCCAGCCGGAGGGACAGGACCCGTCATCCAGCCTCCGCTGTTTGGGGCTCCCGGTAGAATTTTTTGAGCATGTTCCTCATCAAGTCTATAGTTTGTCCACAAAAAATCTCAGCTAAAAATTCAATTGGGAAGGCACTCAAATGAATTTTGGAAAATAACTGCGTTTTATATGTATATTTTGGCGCAGTTATCTTCAAGAATTTATTTGACTGCCTTCCTGATCGAATGTTTAGTTGAAATTTTTTGTGGATAAACTAGACTTGATGAGAAACATGCTCAAAAAATTTCATAAAAAAATTCCACCAGAACCGCCCCTCCGGCTGAACATGATCATTCCTCTTCATGTATATATGTGTGTGTGTGTAATGTATGCATGTATATATGTGTGTGTATAATGTGTGTGTGTGTGTATGAGGGGTGGTTCTAGTTAGAAAGACGCTTGATGTGAGAAATGTAAATCTTCACTTTAGGTTCTCTATATGCTGCAATTTCATGTTAAAATACTGGAGTTTTTGCAGTGGCAAAATAAATTCACTCAAGCAATAGCCACCGCATTTTATATCATTTTTTTTTTGCATTATTTGCACTTTTTGACCCATTAGAACTCAAATTCAGTGCACTAAATTCATCTTTGTTTCTTACATTAAGGCTATGTTTGGTATGACGTAATCAACCATGTAATGTAATGAGCATTACATGTTGATTTGATTACGATGTTTGGTATGTCATTTTATTTAAAACCGTAATGTAATGGCCATTGCATATGTGGAACTCATTACTTTGATTTGTGTAATAACTAATAAGCATTACATTAAACAAGATGTGTATTTGAGATTACAACTTACACACTGCACACACACGCTGCACACACGTACACACACTGCGCGCGCACACCGCGCGCACACTGCACACGTACACACACACTGCACACACACTGCACACGCACACACCGCACACACACAGATAAAAAAAACATAATTATGTAATGTTGATTACAATTCAAAGTTGTTATTTAAGTAACCAAACATAGTAATGGAATAGAGACTCCATTCCATTACATTACATTTTGTATTGCATTATACACTTCATTCCATTGCATTACATCATACCAAACATAGCCTAAGGTCTCTCACATTTGATCATACATATACATATATATATACATACCCTTATGTATATATATCAAGAGGGAGTACCATTCATTCCAAATTTTGCTCTAATTATATTTGGAGACAAAACATCACTGGCTGAACTCTTGACCCAATTTTCAATGCAGTCGATTGCCTAATATTGCCTTTAAATAATTCTCTTATCTCAGTTTTGCAGTTGCTTTTTACGGGAGTTCATCTCAGTCTCGATTGGTTGCTCTGATTGCTCAGGTAACACATTTTGCTTTCTTTAAGACATGTGGTATTTGCAATGATTATTTTTTGTTTGTATGATCTTGTAAAAATGTATAGTTAGATTAATTTGTAGATAAATACTTAGTCTTATCTGATGTAAATCTCACACGTATGAGATAAAGATAGTTAGGTAGTCAGATCCTAATTTTTAGGATCTCATCATTTAGTTTGTTAGACTTGTATCCTATATATATTGTACCCGGGTGATGGAATAAATCAAGTCATTCTATTCTCTCAAACTTTCATGGTATCAGAGCGGGCTGTTTAAACACCACAATGGTGGAAACCGAGCACTCTGGTTCTTCCCCTCACTCACAAACCCTTCACCCTAACTCCCAAATTAGCCAAATGACAAACTATCAGGCCTCGATTAATTCATCTATGCTCATTACTGGACATAGATTGAATGGAACTAATTATCTAGAATGGTCACAGTCTGTCAAGCTGGCAATTGATGGAAGAGGAAAGCTGGGATACATAACGGGTGAGATAGCAGAGAAGAAAAGTGGTGATGATGGCTACAGTGTCTGGAGGTCAGAAAACTCTTTGGTAACAGCCTGGCTTCTCAGTTCAATGGATGCATCAATCGCCAAACCTCACATGTTCATGAAAACTGCAAAAGAGGTATGGGATTCCATCAAAGAAACCTATTCGGATCTTGAGAACTCTTCTCAGATTTATGAATTAAAAACAAAGCTGTGGCAGTCCAAACAAGGAAGTAGAGATGTCATCTCATACTATAATGAGATGGTATCCCTATGGCAAGAGTTGGATCAATGCTATGATGCTGAAGAATGGGAGAGTGCCAAGGATCTGGCAAGACACAAGAAGAGGGAGGAAAATGATAGGGTCTATATGTTCCTAGCAGGAATTAATAGAGACCTGGATGAAGTCAAGGGAAGAATTCTTGGAAAAAAACCTCTACCTTCAATCAGGGAGGTATTTTCTGAAATCAGGGTGGAAGATAGTAGGAAAAAGGTCATGAATAACACTCCAGTACATCATGATGAATTAGGAGAGTCCTCAGCAATGATTGCCAAAGGAAATGAGAAGAAGAAGCCTTGGTGTGATCATTGCAAGAAACTGTGGCATACTAGGGAGACTTGTTGGAAGATTCATGGCAAACCACCTGGAGCAGGACAGAAAAAAGTTGAAAGGGCCCTACATACTGCCATACCTGAAACTGATCAAGAGCAACAAGTCAATTTCAAGCAGCCAATTTTCACCAAGGAGCAGATAGAGCAGCTCCTACAACTTCTTAATACCCAAAAGAACCCTAAATCAGAAAACCCTTCTTGTTCTTTTGCTCAGAATGGTAAAATTGCATCATTTTTCTGTTCTGGAAAACCAAATGCCACCTGGGTCATTGACTCAGGTGCAACAGACCACATGACCTCCATTTCAAATCTATACTCTTCTTATAAACCCTGTGCAGGGGATAAGAAAATAAAAGTTGCAGATGGCTCTCTTTCAGCCATTGCAGGAACTGGAAATGTTAAAGTTTCCACTTCTATTGACCTTTCTAAAGTTTTACATGTCCCAAATCTATCCTGTAATCTTGTTTCTGTTAGCAAATTAACCAAAGATCTTCAATGTTGTGTTAAATTCTATCCTTCCTATTGCATTTTTCAGGATCTGGCATCGGGGAAGATGATTGGCAGTGCTAGGGAAGAAGATGGACTCTATATATTTGATAAAGGGACTGAATCAAATAAACAAGGTCAAAGAACTACTTGTCTGCAAACTATTACGTTTCCCAGTGATAAGGAGTTGTATTTAATTCATTATAGACTAGGTCATCCTAGTTTCCATTATTTAAAAAAGTTGTTTCCTCAATTATTTCATAATAAAAATGTTTCACAGTTTCATTGTGATATGTGTACACTTGCAAAGCATCATAAAAATTCTTATCTTCCCCACAGTTACAAACCTACCAGCCCTTTTACTCTTGTGCATAGTGATATTTGGGGAGCATCTAGAATCCCTACTTTAAAAGGAAAGAGATGGTTTGTAACAATTATTGATGATCATACAAGAATGACATGGGTATTTTTGATCAAAGAAAAATCAGAAGTAGAAAATGTATTTAAGCAGTTTTATGCAATGGTCCAAACTCAATTCAATACCAATATAAAAATGGTAAGAAGTGATAATGGCCGTGAATACTTTTCTACAAACTTAAATCATTTTTTTGCTGAAAAAGGAATAATTCATCAAAGTTCTTGCATTAATACTCCTGCTCAGAATGGAATTGCTGAGAGAAAAAATAGACATTTACTTGAAGTTACACGTGCAATCATGTTTTCAATGAAAGTTCCAAAATATTTATGGGGAGATGCTGTTTTACATGCTACCTATTTAATAAATAGGATGCCATCAAAAGTTTTAGGGTTCAAAACTCCAATTAGTATTCTGCAAGAATGTTACCCTACTACTAGATTGATTAGCACTCTTTCTTTAAAAATCTTTGGTTGCACTGTTTTTATTAAAAATCCAGACAAAACAGCAAGTAAATTTGATCCTAGAGGAACTAAGTGTGTCTTTTTAGGTATTTCATCCACACAGAAAGGGTATAAATGCTTTGATCCATCAACAAAAAAGATGTTTATTTCAATGGACACTGTTTTTGTTGAAAATCAAGTGTTTTTTGATACTCATCTTCAGGGGGAGAGTTTTAATGAAGATGCTACCAATGTGTCACATATTCATGACAATCTTGATTTTCTTGACATTAATCTAGATATGCATTCTATTAGAAACTTAGATGCATTAGAAAATGGTCAAGCATCAAAAAATAATGAAATAAATACAACTGAGAAACTGGGAGGTGAAGAACTGCAGATCAGTAAGTTCTTTGGCAAGGTTTATGAGAGAAAGGTTCCAAATCAAAGAGAAGAGGAAGTCTTTGAACCTACATCTGTTAATGAATCTGACCAGATGTCAGTAAATGAAAAAGGTAATGACTCAACTGATCTTGATTTACCTATAGCTCTCAGAAAAGAAAGAAGGTCATGTGTCAAATATCCTATCTCAAACCATGTTTCCTATTCTAGATTATCCTCTACATTTGCAACCTTTTCTTCTATTGTCTCCTCTGTTTCTATCCCATCAACCATACAGGAAGCTCTATCTAAACCTGAGTGGAAAAAGGCTGTTTTGGAAGAGATGGATGCTCTTGAAAAGAATCAGACATGGAAGGTTGTAGAGCTACCTAAAGACAAGCCCACAGTTGGATGTAGATGGATTTTCACTCCTAAGTTCAAGGCAGATGGCACTCTTGAGAGGTATAAGGCAAGGTTAGTTGCCAAAGGTTATACACAAACCTATGGCATAGATTACACCGAGACCTTTGCTCCAGTTGCAAAGCTGAATACTATCAGAATTCTTCTATCCCTGGCTGCAAATTTAGATTGGCCTCTTCAACAGTTGGATGTGAAGAATGCTTTTTTAAATGGAAAACTTGAGGAGGAAGTTTACATGAATCCTCCTCCTGGGTTTGAAAACAAGTTTGGTTCAAGAGTATGTAAGCTAGAAAGATCCCTGTATGGACTCAAACAGTCCCCAAGGGCTTGGTTTGATAGGTTCACACAGTTTGTTAAAAAACAGGGATATAAACAGGCCCAAGCTGACCATACTCTATTTATAAAATGTTCAAGTAAGGGGGAGATTGCTATATTAATTGTCTATGTAGATGATATTATCATTACAGGAGACTTTCATGAAGAAACACAAAGCCTGAAGAAAAAACTTGCTGCTGAATTTGAAGTCAAAGATCTGGGAGATTTGAAATACTTTCTTGGCATGGAAATAGCTAGATCAAAAGAGGGAATAATTGTATCTCAAAGGAAGTATGTTTTAGATCTTCTTCAAGAAACAGGGATGAGTGCATGTAAACCAGCTGACACTCCTATAGACTCAAACCAGAAGTTAGGAGATGTCAGAGATGGGGTTCCAGTCAATGTGCAACAATATCAGAGATTGGTAGGAAGACTTATATACTTAGCACATACCAGACCTGATATTGCTTTTGCAGTTAGCATGGTAAGTCAGTTTATGCACTGTCCATATAAAGAACATCTTGAGGCAGCCTACAGAATTCTTAGGTATTTGAAAAGTTGTCCTGGAAAAGGTTTGTTTTTCAAAAAGAACCATAGTAGGGCAGTAGAGGCCTTCACAGATGCTGATTATGCAGGATCAGTAAGTGATAGAAGATCTACTTCGGGGTACTGCACTTATGTATGGGGAAATCTAGTGACTTGGAGAAGTAAGAAGCAGAATGTGGTAGCTAGAAGCAGTGCAGAGGCAGAATTCAGATCAATGGCCAATGGTATATGTGAACTTCTTTGGATCAAGAGGGTGATCAAAGAACTAAATATGGAATTGGAGTTACCTATGAGACTATATTGTGACAACAAGGCAGCTATTAGCATTGCACACAATCCAGTCCTACATGACAGAACAAAACACATTGAAGTGGATAGACACTTTATCAAAGAGAAAATCGAAGCTGGAATTGTGTGTACACCATTTGTGCCTACCAGGGATCAAACTGCTGATATTCTAACAAAAGGATTGTTCAAACCAGTGTTTGAGAAACTAGTAAGCAAGTTGGGAATGTATGATATATATTCACCAACTTGAGGGGGAGTGTAAAAATGTATAGTTAGATTAATTTGTAGATAAATACTTAGTCTTATCTGATGTAAATCTCACACGTATGAGATAAAGATAGTTAGGTAGTCAGATCCTAATTTTTAGGATCTCATCATTTAGTTTGTTAGACTTGTATCCTATATATATTGTACCCGGGTGATGGAATAAATCAAGTCATTCTATTCTCTCAAACTTTCAGATCTTTTTGTATGGGAGCAAAGCAGTGTCTGCCTGAGAGCTAGACTTTGATATTAAAATGCTAAAAATGGAATGTGTACATACTTCACCATAATTGATACGTCAGAGTTGCACTTTAAAGAATTCATGTGGGTATTCTAGTCATACATACCTCAATATAAAAATATGTGTAGTATAGTATTTCATTAGTGTGTACTTGAATATCTAATATGACAAGCGATCATAAGGAGTGTTGTAAGGAGTGCGGGGGTATATCAGTATATGTCTCTTCGTTGCTTCATGAGAGGGGTGGAGTGGGAAGAGGACTGCCAGTCGGCCACATTCAGCTCCCCGAGCTCCGTCTCTAAAATTTAAACTTGGTGTAATTAATTAATAAATAAGTGAATTGCACGTATATATAAGATATTGGACTGCCCTCTGCACAACTAGTTTATCTTTACATCTGCATGCTTGCAACATTTATGCTTCTATCAAGAATCTAAAAAAGTTTTACCTCCATCAGTTTCTAATTCTCGCACCATGATATCTGTTAACTCTTTTTTTAAACTGCAGGAGGAGATAACAACTACTCGTGGTCAGGTTGAGCCACCAGGGATGCATATGATATTTCTTCCTTACTCTGATGATATTAGACATGTTGAAGAGGCAAGCAGAATATATAAACTTCATTCTAATTCCCTGATGAACTTTTCATAAAAGGGTTTGTTGGTTTCTTGCTGCAGCTTCATGCAGATTCAGAGTCCTTACCTCATGCAACTGATGACCAAACCAAAGCTGCCTCTACTGTAGTGAGGCGTATTGACTTAAAAGACTTTTCTGTTTGCCAATTTTCAAATCCTGGTAAGTTTCCACTATGAGGAAGATGTTGGATTTTTGTCTGCGCATTTGTTAAATCATGAATGGTGTTTTGACCAAAAATTGCACGAATGATAACAAGGTATCCAAAGAGTCTCCTCATCCCCCCACAACTGTACTAATTAACAAAATTAAGAGGAAAAAAGCAACAAGCTTGTGGCGTTTTTTTGCATAGGTTCACCAGCTTATATTCAGATGGTTGCACAAGAATATTATGTGATTACCGGAACACCGCCTCCGAAGTAACAAAGTGCAATAAATGTTTTTTTAAATCAAATGGCTCCACGGGAAAATATCACTTTGCAAATGGAGTTTGTATTTGAATTTATTTGATCCCAATACCATGAGTATTTCAGAGTAAGACTACTCCTAAATTAAATTGGAAGTGCTTCAATAATTAGGGCTCTATTTGTTTCCAGTTGAGTAACTTGTGGAAAATGTTTTATTGGAAAATAAGATGCATGTGTAATTACACAATGTTCGTTCACGGATATAGAATGTTTTATCCTCCCACACAATCTTTTGAAGCAACTCCTATCTCTTACTTATCTATCCTCTAAAAAAATGTTCTGACTTCTAGTTGCACATAGCATTGCAGAGACATTACGCAATATTGCAGGCTCTTGCTCTGGATGAAGACGAGATGCCTGAAATGAAAGATGAAACTCTTCCCGATGAAGAGGGCATGTCTAGGTAATCATATTCTTTCAATACATGTTCTAGAACCTTGTGTGCCCCTGTATGTATGCAACAATTTCTGTCATTTTCCTGTAGGCCTGGTATCGTTAAAACGCTCGAGGACTTCAAGCTTTCTGTATATGGAGAGAACTATGATGAGGAGAGTGAGCTAAATTCCAAAGGAAAGACTACTACTATTAGCGAGGCTGCCAAAAAACGTAAAGCAATTGCTGAAAATGCCGTTAAGGAGTACACGAAGTATGACTGGTCTGACCTTGCAGACAACGGACAGGTAATTTAAGAAAATTTATTTCCCAGTTTTACTTGCTGTAAAGGACAACATCACATCTGTAGTTGATTGAGTTAATCCAAAGTAATTTTTTAATGGGCAGTTAAAAGATTTGTCTGTTCAAGAGTTGAAGTACTACCTGGTGGCCCACAGCCTCCCTGTGGGTGGGAAGAAGGATGGATTGATCAGTAGGATACTGAGTCATATGGGCAAATGAATTGGTGATACTCATCCCTGTATTGTCATTGCCAGTTCATCACCACCTTTATTTGAGTACATAGTAGAATATCATTATTTTTTATGCCATTTTGGATGACTAGTTACTATCCTACTTACCGTATAATTGCCTACGTATACAATGTTGGCAATGTGTATAGTTGAAGCAAGTGAGGTTTTTGTATTAGCTTTCATCTGTCGGGGTAGGGGGTCACAATGTGAATGGGCTTAGATTTGCTATTATTTTTTTGTAATATTGAAAGGGTAATTCTAAATGTAGCCATAATTTTACTACAGTCCCTAATTATAATTAATTAAATATTAATAAAATGCCTATTATATCCCTGTTGCCGAATTGCCGTCCTTGAAGGTCTGCTATAACATGTCAAAATCTCAAGTGGCCATATGCCCATATCCGATTGCAACTGACAATTACAGTTACTTCTGAAAAGAAAGCCTCCGGCAAAAAGTGAGCTATTGAAAGGAAGAAACATTACATGTGGATCGTTTATTTTTCCACTGATTTTTTCAATAGATTCATGCTATCCTTGTTACCTCTATCCTTCCTCATTGATCAATGCATCCGTTGATTTAATCAAGAGAAAGTGTAATATATTATGTAATATTTTGTTTTATTCTTTAGTTATGATTCTGCATAACAAATTAGATGGCGGACTATGGGTGATGGCAAAGGGAGAATCCAGACTCAGCAATCTATGATATGCTTGAACATAGTGTCACTCTTGATGAATTTGTTATACTTTTGCTCGACAGGGCGAGAAAACGTTTTGCAATAGGGATTATAATGATAGATAGTCTGGATTCGGGATAGGAAGTTTCTTGAAAGGAAGAATTATTGAAGGTTCTATCTTTAACACAAGGGTACAATAGATATTTCATATGTATCGTATTTATTAAAAATTAATAGCAAATTTGTGGTTGTGAATAGAACCACCCATATTGAAATTAAAAAAATGCCGAGGTTGCAATTACAATTTCAGTGTACGTAGCCATTGCACAAAAACTCTGGAAACCCCTTGATAGTTGATACTTGATACCAATGAAGCACAAAAACTCTTCCGTATCAAAAAAGAAGCTCTTCAAACAATTTTTTCTATTAAAAATAATGGTTTCATTTTCCCGAAGTATCGTCAGTCTAAAACCTCATAACGGTGTCGATTTTCTCCAAGTTTCCGTCAGTCAAATTAGTTTTTTTTATTAATTCGATACTTGCTCAATCGCCAGTTACTGAAACAGTAATGTCTAAAAAACGTTGATGTCTCAGTTTTAAGAAGAAAATAATGGAAAAGCTACAAAGTAGGCTTTACTATTATAATTATTATACATTTACAAAACTGCATGTACACGGCAAAAGTAAAAATGGGGACTATATTTGATAGTTTGCTAGAGTCAATACCTATCTTCTGGCTACAAGTATATGCAACTATGCAAGCCCACTTTTAGAGCCAAAATATACTGCTATTGTATGAATTCTTTGCAAAGTTCTTTTTATAGAACTTAAGAATGAATATTACTTGTACGGTTATGCCAGTTCAGTAGATACTAATTTGCACTAAAATTGAGATCAACAGGTATAAGACATAGAGCACATTTAAACTTAGACCACAACCACATGATATAGAATGGGCACCAACTAAATGCACAGATCCAGTTATCTCATCCTTCAATTCAATGCTTGAGGAGCCTGCAAATAAACACAGTTCAATGACGGTTCATATTTAAATGCAACTTAACAGGTTCAGCATCACACGACAGCCCAACACAAGATACTACGAAGACATCTGAGATTCTTTATTTAATACTTTATCATTAACTTAATCAACAATTTGACCTTGCAAAAAGATTAAGAATAAAAATAGTGGTAGACATTTATGCACCAAGTGTTAAATTTAGGGACAGGGGGAGCCGGGGAGTATAAAATTCATGCTTTAAGAAACATCACCCTTCCCTTTTTTTGGATACTTGAACTAAACTTCAAGTTTATTTATTTGCTTCACTTTTTCTTGTCAATTTAACAATTCTACCATTACTTTTTCTGCTTCAAAGGTCTGTCACTTTTCCCTTTTCTTGAACATTGAAAAGACTTTCCGAATGCATTAATGCGGCTTATATTAATTTTAATCGTCAAACTAGAAGAAAATATTAACCGTGTTATGGCTTCTACATCAACTAGAAAAAGTTGTCAGTGCTTCCCTTAAAAAATGTCAGTTGAATGAAGCAAATGACACATAAAATAAACAGATGGGTGTAGCATAAGAAAAGGCTTCACTGCCAAGTAGGAACAGTACCAAGACCTTCAAGTTGCATTATGAGATTTTATGTGATTATGTTTAAGCGAAATGTACAATTAGATAAAGCTTGATTGGCACTGTACCATTGGCACCAGTTTCGTTCTTTGCGTGCAGTCGTGCACATATATATACATATAAATGCATACATACTTGTGAGTACGATTTTATCCCCTTTTCCTTTTTTCTTTGCATGTGTTTATATACAATGGAATACCTGTGATTCAGGAAAAAATCAAAGCAATGTATCGAATAGTAGATAGCTTACAATTATAGTCTGTCCATCCAATGGTCTGACTTTCAAGATCATAGAGGACAAGCTTATTTGAAAGTACCAAGTCTGCAAGCATGACAAGAGATGTTGGTACACAGTACAATTTTATCCATTGTGCCTACCTATTCAGGCAGTGTAATGAATAAAAATACTTTATTCTATATTGGGGCCCATTTGAAACCTGGGAAATACTATGAGAAGAAAATGAGGGAAATACTGAATAGAAATGGAAGGAAAAAATGGAGTAAAATAAACTAGATACTCTACAACATCCAAGCCTTTCCCAAAAGTTTTTGGGGTCGGTTAACATGAATCAATAAATTTACTTTAGAATTCAAAAACATAATTATTTAATTATTTCAATTAGATAAAAGCTAAAAAATTATATGAATCTAAACACAAATTTTAAACAACTACTAATTTTTCATTTTCCTATTGCCCTTTTGGCCTTTTCGAGGTAAAGCCAAACATAAGAAAATGTCTTTCTTTAGCATTTGTTTTCCATTCCATAGCATTTTTCGGGATCCAAACATATAAGGTATCAGTGATGTGTATGAAGGGGTAGCCATTTAAATAAGCTCAAAGAGAATTCCACGGAATACAGTTAAAGAATCGAAGTCATGTTCTGTGGGGTGCATGTGGATTTACAATACAAATCTGGCAATGTCACGTGGCTGTAAGTCTAAGACAACTATTACACCACATTTTTGTCTTGCAAGCGAGATTTATGATGCCAAGTTTGGAATTTGATCTTTATTCCTTCAGAAGAAGATTAAAACAAAAGGGCATTCATGTAAAAACAGTGATAGAGAAGCATTAAATGTAATCATTTTAGAGACACATTCCTAGTTGGCACACATTTACTAGGTCATGATAACATGTCTTATCTACCATCACCCACAGAATGTATGTCGCATAGGGATGTCTCCCTAAAATTGCCTAATTTGATGCTCCAAAATTCTACTCTTCATGTAAATATTTGGCACTACTCTCTACCATGAATTTGTAGTGTCAAAAGATACGTCAGTTATTATTCAGACTCCAAAAAGAACAGTACCTAAATATACCAATACGTAATATACAAAACTTTTTAACTGTTCATATGAATCTTATCACCACGTTTGTATTAGGACTTGGCAAATAATCCTTTAACTTAGCGGTCACTCCAACTCTCCAAGACTATTCGTGAAGAGTCATTATTTCAATGGCATAAAGAAAACAAAGTGCAAGGGGAAACTGATTAACAGAATAGCTTATTATACATCGGGCTGTGCAAACTAGCATTCGTTTTGTTCACCTATCACCACTCTTTAGCATCGCCAATAGGACATTAAGATCCAACGGGTAGTACACGCACAAAAAAAAACTTCCTAAAGAGGCGACGTTACATAAAACCTGCTACCTGGCAATATCAATCAAATAAAATGATTTTCTTTGAGAACAAGCATACCTCCTAGAAGTGTGATATTCCTTCTATCATGAGATTGTATTCCACTGTTTTGCCATCCAATGCAAAATAGATCTTCCTGTAGAAGGTTAACAAAAATGAAAGTACCAAACATTAAAAGTAGTAGGAATTCTTCAAATATGCTAGCTGAATTTGTTGATAAATACTTATGAGTGCATTTACTACTAGTAGTGCATGTAGATGATTCCTATAAAAGTCCTTCCAAAATGATAGATAAGAGTTTTTGCCACTTTTAGTCCTCCGACTTTTGGTACTCGGACTTTGATTATTTCCACTTTTGTTTCTTCAAGTATTGTGCGAAAGACACTTTTGATACCCGTCTTTGAAAATTTCCACATTTAGTCCTTTGACTTTCATAAAAGTGACACTTTTGGTCCTTCAACTATTATAATAGTGACATTTTAGTCCTCCACTTATTAGGTCAAAATCATAGTGGAAGGACTAAAAGTGACAATTTGATAGTACTCAGGGGACTAAATGTGAGAGTTTGAAGTCGAGGACTAAAAGTGTCTATGCGCAATAGTCGAAGACTAAAAATGGAAAAATTAAAAGTCGAGTACCAAAAGTGTCACTGACACAATAGTTGGGGGGCTGAAAGTGGTAAAAACTCAGATACAAGATGATAACTTGGGGAAGTGATCCATACATCAGAAAGTAAAAATTAAGTTGAGCATTGAATATCTATAATTTAGTAAACAACATGTTTAAAGAATAACATGTGATAAATTGCAAAGGAAGTAATGTACAGTGGGAAAATAGCTCAAAGATGAAAAACACTTACATATGGAAATAGGTATTCTTGAGGACTAACTTTTAAAGTGAGTGAGTTTTGAAAATATAATGTGACTGGAGGGAATCCATCATCAACACTGCAGCATATAGAGGGAGTGTTCATTGCAATTAAACATGTAATAAGAAAGAGTATAAAATAAAAACAGCAAATGTTCAACTTTAAGATAAGAAACATGTGTTACAGAAAGTTAAATGCATACCAAGATATTCAAATTGCTTGATCAGGAATGATAAGATATTCTCTAAAGCCCAAAAGGCAATAAATTTTATTCAGAAATTGTTCGAAGGTATTTGAAAAATTGTGTGCATGTTTCAGCCTTCTGAGCAATGATGAAATACCTTCTTTATATAAAAAATAAAAAAAACTCCGTAAAAAAAGACAATCAAATCTATTTTGCCGATTAACACAGTGAAGTGAATAGGTTTCAAGAGTGTCTAGATCTGTAAAAACGACTATGTCTATTCCTAAACCTAAATCGAATGGAACTACATAGAGCTCTAAGT